CATTTCGTAATCGATGCTGTGATAATTCACTGAGCATTGATCTGAAGTAAGGATGTTTCGGTGAGATGCGCCGCACTGTTCTTTGGCATCTTTGTGTTGACCGATTCAAAAAGCACCGCTAACGAGAAATATCACGGTAGACCAAAAAAAGTGCTTAACAATGCAAAAGACAGGAGGGGATAGAAGAGACGAGAACAGAGCGCTCTGTTCTCGTCTCTTCTATCCCCTCCTTTCGTTTGCGCTGTTAAGCACTTTCTCGATCTACCATGCAGCACCAACCAGCCCAATCAAGGACCTTGTTAGAGAATGATCGCCCTTTCGTGGCAACACCCTGTTCTTTATTGTTCACATCTGAAGCATACGCGAGCCTTAGCCTCGCAGTCGACAACGGTTGTCGATGACATCCAGTAGAGCGCGGGCTGAGGACGACACTTCAATGCAGTGTCGCCGTTGTCGCATCCAGGTCGTTTATCTATAGAACACCGGCTGTAATGGGAAACGCGGCGCTACAGTGCACTTCTAGAACACTCGAACGACACAGTGGACTGCTCCAGGCCAGCGCGTAGACAGCGCCGCAACGGAGTCACCGATAGCTAATTTATAGTAATTGCGTAAAATCGCACAGGCCCCCTCCCCCCCCTCTTTTTTAAATGTATCCCGGTTAATGCGTTCACGCGGTTAGTGCGCGCTTAGATTTTCAAATGCAAAGGCAGCGCCAGAACACGCAGCTTAGCGACACACCCGCCGTGACGTCACATTTGCGACATCACATGACCAGATTGATTGATTGATTTGTGGGGTTTAACGTCCCAAAACCACCATATGATTATGAGAGACGCCGTATGTGGAGGGCTCCGGAAATTTCGACCACCTGGGGTTCTTTAACGTGCACCCGAATCTGAACACACGGGCCTACAACATTTCCGCCTCCATCGGAAATGCAGCCGCCGCAGCCGGGATACGAACCCGCGACCTGCGGGTCAGCAGCCGAGTACCTTAGCCACTAGACCACCGCGGCGGGGCCACATGACCAGAAGGAGCGTCCGCGACCCGACAATGCCGAAGTGCGCATGCGTTTTTGATGTCGCAAGATATCTCTGGTAGCTGTTAGTAAAGCTTGGGAGACAAATTAGAACTACTCTTTCAAACAATTAATTCGAGCGCAAACACACGACAAAATCACACACCCACATCCACACATCAAACACACACAGTGTGTGTGTGCGTGTGTGTGATAGTGTCGTGTGTGTGTGCTCGAGTTAATTTTTTGAAATGTTGTACCAACCAGCCCAACAACAAGTTCTTTTACAATTAGAGCTACGTATAGGGCCACCCACCCAGCGACGATATGGGTTTTGGAGCGAGGATGTGCGCATAGCCAGCCGCGGGACGACGACGTTATTGCGTCCACAACTGCACAGTTACCACCCGCAAAGTGTAACCAGTAACGCAAGACTGATGTACGGTAGTCTCGGCTACCTACCAGACGTCGCGCTGTCGGTAGTCCGTGAACGAGCATATGTTTTCACGAACAGCACTCCACGTTTGTAATTCAAAAGCAACGGTGTGCCATTTTCCACCCATTCATTCCATTTAGAGTTACTGCAACCGTGTACCTTCACTTAGCAGGATTCCGCAGGAATAATTTGTCATATTGTAAATTTGTTCCGCACTTTTCAACATACCTGTTCAGCTTCAGGTTGTCGATTAAGGCGGCTTTATACTCCGAAACGGGCCATTGTTGGTCTAGAGACCAACAATGGCCCAACCAACGTTCTTCTCCCAACGTTCTCTATAGAGAACGCTGGGACCATTGGAACGCCCGGACCAACGTTCTCTATAGACAACGTTGGTCCTGAGATAGCATCCCGGACAAGGATGACCGTTTTCTTCAATGAAACTTTTATTTCTGCGAAACACGTCTTACTTCGACATTTGTAGCTCCGTCCCTTAGCCGGTTGGATGACATATTTCTACATACTTCGAATCCATCTGAGAACAAACGAACGTTCGACTGGTAACGGCACGACCCGGCATAGCGATGAGGCGAATGTCTGCGTCAACGCGGGGCAAAAAAGAACCTTTGAAAAGGATGATTTGATTTGTGGGGTTTAACGTCCCAAAACCATTATAGATTATGAGAGACGCCGTAGTGGAGGGCTCCGGAAATTTCGACCACCTGGGGTTCTTAACGTGCACCCCCTTTGAAAATGAGGAGGGCAGAACGAAAGTGACGAGAAAAAAAGGAAGAAGTAGCATAGAATGCCGTTTCGGCACCTGTCGGTTCGGGAATCCTGCCGCCCTTGGCAGTTCGCAGAAGCGACAGAGCTGCCGCCGCTGTCGAAGCAGCCGGCAGCCACTCACCGCGGCGTGGCAGCACCGGCCACACTCGCCGCCCGTCATCATCATCATCATCATCATCATCATAACGAATTCCAAACTTTTGGCCGGCCGTTCACGGCCACCGTGGTGTACTGTTGGTTATGTCGCCCGATAACTGTCTGGTCGCGAGACGAAACTCCGGACGCAAAAAAAAAAAAAAAAAGAAAACGTTACGTAATGCAAGCAAATTATCTTGATTGGTCAATTTCTTTGTGCATCTCAAGACAGCTCGACGCCCTCGATTTCAGATTTACGGGCACATTGAACAAACCCACGTTGTCGAAATTTCAATGGGTCCTATACATGCTACACGGCGTCTCTCATAATCATAACGTGGTTCTAGTGACGCAAAACCCTAACAATTATTATCACTACTATTAGCTGTCACAGCCATTCTATTCCAAGCATTCATAAAATTGAAGAAGCCGCGACAGCCGTTAGGAAAATAACAACTGTGTTTTACGAGCCGAGCAAGTTACGATGCGATTATGAGGCACACAGCCGTGGGACACTGCAGATTATACTAAAGTACACGGCCTGAACGATCTTAAGTGTATCCGATGTTCGATTTGTACCGTGTTAACAGGCCTTTAAGGTATAGCTTCTGAGCTGTGACCTTGTTTCTTTATCGCCTCAACGTGGTTGTCGAAACGAACATACAAGACAATGCGAAATTCGCTGCAACCAATTCGTAACACAATAATGTGTACGTTGTAGAATCACTAAAGGAAGCGTATTAAATGTTCCAGATTATATCAAGCAACTTTATGCAATATTTGCTGTTAAGTTAGAGACAGCTGTATTTTATTCGGGCGGTTTGATCGGCACAATGAACTTCTCACCAAGCAAAAATGACATGACACGGAGAAAACATTACTTTCATGTATCCGTATGAACAACATGAGAGAGGTTCGGCCAGATTCGAGACTACGGAAAAAAAAAAAGTGCAGTGAAGGAAGCAGTCTTTTTTTTTCAACTTTTTGGAGCGCACTTCGGAGCAGGAAAAGCACTGCTTTGGATCAGCCATAAGTGTTTTTGCAGCAGGAAAAAAAAAAACAGTTAAAGCAGCTATTGGTGTTTTAGGAGCAGATATGAAATTTGCCATACATTAATTGGAGTTTATGGCATTGTTGAAGCATCTCTTAAATATTAATATTTCTTATGAAATATATTTAACACACAAGAATGTAAATTCCATGAAATAAACAATGACAGGTTGTCAAAAATGTGCCGTGAAAAGAGCTACAATTTACAATACTAGAATTTGTGGCAGAAATCAAATCAAAGTTGGGAAAAATTGAGTCCCAAATTTTCGAAGTAATTACAGTCTCAAACAACTGTTGCCAGATAAGCGGTAGATCGTCGGTATGAGATAAAAGCAATCCTGTTCATTTTCACCATACTAGCCTGCATATGTCTAGCTGAAAAAAAAAAAAGAACCGCATGAGCTATATGCTTAATATGCCAGTTCTTTTGCAGAAATCAGATCCAAGTCGATAATGCTGCACACTAGTTGCACACTTGGGTGATAGTACATATATTATTTTATGTTTCTTTAGGATTTATGAGTCGGTCAAACAGTCAAAACTTCCTCATCCTCATTCTCCGAGTGTCATTTCGGGGCAGGTTTAGAGCTATTACTAACAAAAGTTACTGTTTGGAGCAGCTTTTCTTTTTTGGAACAGTTTGGAGCATCACTTCCATCACTGAAAGTGTTCGCTCAGAAAACTGAACCAGACGTGACAACTGGCGCGGCGTCTGCTACTGCTTTAGATTTGCACTTCTACGTTAACATGTCAGTTTAAACTAATACATAACCAGATCAAACTACCCCGATAAAACCGAGACATTTGGTATTACGACCGGTCCCGGTACAGCAGAATTGATATGTGGGGTTTAACGTCACAAAACGGTACAACAGATGGAACATTAGTAGCGACGCCACTACCGACACGGTGTTGACAAGAAACCCTAGCGGACGGAACAAAGGAAGCCAATCGACGCCGCGGAGAAAAGAAGAGGCCCCTAAGGTCAGTACACGGTTTTCAAGAACCACAGCTGACTCTTTTCCGGCCCATATGAGCGGCCGGCAGCAACAAAGACGCCGTGCCACCGCGGCAAGAACAGCGCGCCGCTTTTTAACGATCGTCTTTGTTGCCAAGATCCCCACCTCCCCAGGAGGGAGACGCCAGACGAGAGGGAGAGGAGACGCGCGTACTCTCTCCTCTCTCTCTCAACCAACCAAAACAAACCCGGCGGCTGTCAGCCAGCGGGGTTGCGCACGCGGGGGCCGGCGGCTTGTTCGGCTGTGGTTTCTTTTACAACACTCTGCTGTCGTGGCATACGCTCACACACACAAACAGACACGCAGATTGCTCTTATTTTCAGTGTTATCTCGGTCAGCTGACCGTATATTTAGCACGCACGCAAGAGCGCTCACTCCCGCGAGAAGCAGCTACGACGCTCCAGCGAAAGCCAATCGATGCACTACGTCGCACTTTGTCGACTGGCCCAATTTTCCAGGCAGTGCGGGGCCGGTGAGATCGCTTCGCGCGCTAAGGCTCAGTTTGAAGGAGAAGGTTAACGTGGCTTTGTAGGCATGCGTGCACTGCACTCACCGATCGCCAGGAAGTCGGAGCACGGCGTGCCAACGGGTGTGTCGTCAAGGAGCAACACGTCGCTCGGCGCAGCGTCTCCTCCGCCGCTGGTGCTGGCGTTGCGACGTCGCGCAGAGGTCCGGTCGGCCCGACCCGCGGAGTCGCCGGAGGCGTCGACCGCCATGGCACACTCGAGGAACACCTCCTGTTTCATGGTGCGGCAACAACGACAGCGACGTCAACGTGCGGCCCAAGAAGAGCAGACGAGTCGGCGGCTCGGCGCTGCTAAGCCTAACCGCGAAGGCTGCTACTGCCTCGTTGACGACGTTACGGCTGTTAAACCCGAATCGAGACGTTTCGCTCATCAAATCACCCTGAGACCCTTATCCCTTCCCGAAACAAAAGAGTCAGATCCGGAGGCCAAATTGTGGACAATTTTGGAGCGCGGGGCGAGAAAGAAAATTTTGGGGGACAGATCGTGAGAAATAAAAGGAAGAAGAGAAAGGCAGCTTAAAAACCAAGCCCTCCTGAGGCCGTACGAGCGAGCCCCGGCGAGCACAGCTAGAAGCTGTAGCCCCACGAAAAAAACGCAACCCCTCGGAACCTTACACCCCTTACATTGGCAACGCACTGAGCGGCGCCGACGGGCCGGCTTATATACCCCGGGCGATCGGCCAATCGCGGCGGGCCGCCGGGTCACGTGGCCACGCGCGCGACACAATACGCGGCGCGTTCCCGTTATCCGAAAACGTCCTGCTCACGGTGCGCGGAGCGTAAACGCTTACTACGGACACGGCGAACGGCCTCCGGGCCCCCTCCTTTGCGAGTTGGTTGCTCTCGTTTGTTTTGGTATTCGCATTTATGCTTTATCGGAGAGCGCGCGCTGCTTTCAAGAGAGGTGGCCGCCCCGGCTTGTACAGACGGCAGCGCACACAAAAAGAACCTCCGGGAAATGAGACAATGGGGCCCGGCCACCGAACGAGATTAAGCGAGCCGGGCGCGGGTTATGGAAAGATTCGCTAGCGAAGCTCTTTCTTTTTGTTTCTTTTTCTTTCTTTCTAGCTCTGTACACGTTCGCCCCCCCCCCCCCCACCTCCATGATTTCAAAGAGACACACAGACAGGCCCAAAGTCTCGTCGTGAATGGGAAGCGCGGCGGATGGCGCCGCCGGCCTGTGTGATGCGGGCCACCGAAACAATGACGGTTTTGAAAAAAAAAACAATAAAAACCAGAAAAATAAACAAACGAAACCTCGGAACGCTCGAATCCCCGACCATCGCTTGGCGCACCGACCGAACGAGACACGGCGTTTTAAATGACAATGGGATATAGACGAGACGCTCCTGAGGCGGGGGCGTCAACATGTTCCCCGCCGGGCGCGGCATAATCCAATTCGCACGCAGTTGTTAGCGAAAAAACGTCGCGATCAATCAACCGCGAATACACGTTGGTCCGCAAGGGCGATGAGACATATATTGGACTTTTTCATTCGTGGTTCCAGAGGGTTATAGCCCAGAGAGGTGCGCCGCATGTGGGGTCCCCAGGTCTCTTTACTGCCCTTGCAATGGGCTGCCCAAGCAAACGTGCAGGACAAGTCGTAGCTTGTTCAGTTTTTTTTTTTTGTAACCTTTTTATATGCGACCAAGCGATTACCCCACAAGAATTATGTTACCTTTGGAAGGCTGTCGATTAAAGGCCTACGCCACTGTAAAAAACACATCAACACTTAAATTAAGTTTTTTTTAATTTTATTGCGAAGCTCGACCAAGGAAATAAAAAGGGGGGACAATGAAACTTGATCCCCACTTCATTCCCCGTTAGTGGTGAACTCTTAGCATGCCAATGGTTACCGGCGTAATAGAACATCTGACATCCCTACTGAAACGTTCCGTATGCGATGTCCAATACTTCCGTATGTTTCCGTAAGAATCTTACGGAAATATGTGGAAAATATACGGAAAACATATGGATTCCGTATGGAAACATATGGAATTATTGGACTCGAATGCGGAACGTTTCAGTAGGGATATAACATCGCATATACTCCTTTACCACATATCAAGACAGTAGCCAGGATTCTTTTTTTTTTCTAGCAGGAGGAGGGGATGCACCTGTTGATACCTTTGAAAAACACTGTTTTTAAGGTCCTTAGTAAAACACATATTCCATTCGAATTTCAAGGAGGTTGGGGGCTCCTGGGACCTACTTCCTGGCTACGGCCTGCCAAACATCTCCCCAATTTTCAGTTTTTTTTTTCTCATTAAGCTTGGCTACAACGCTATACCTGGGACATTGCGAGGAAACGAGAGGAAAAACAAATGTAGAGAAAGCGTTCCCAGAAAACCAAGCCCGACCCCGCAGTGTACAAGGGCGAGGAAGAAAGACATAGAATACCTCAGAAAAACGGTGCTTGAATACATATATACTACATCTCAGCATAGATATGCCAAAATTTAATTTTAGGAAATTTCCGCTCAATTCTCGAGTGATTCGCAATCGCAATGCGTCATAATTGTCAGCGAACGCCAGGACGACAGTCACCCGCGCCAGTAGCTGTGCACTGGCCGCCGAGCTCCGCGTAAGATATTTTTAATTTTCACTTATATAAGGAAAAAAAGATATGGGCAGGTAGGCTACGTTAGAGCCGGCTATCCGGTTATCGTGGTAGTAATGTACAAGGTACACACAAAGACACGAAAATTTGAGATGAATAAAATGAAAGAAAAATAATCAAAAGCACTTTGTACATATATATATATATACAAAAAGCATGAGCACAGTCTAAGGACACAGTCTAGTTCATACAGAATCAAGACAGAGTCACTACATGTGGTGTATATGTATACACAGCGCGACGTCACTGAATGGAGACGCTGTGGCTGCGTTATGAACAGCGGATAGGCCACGTTTAAACGACATTAGCAAGCACCGTAGTAGGCAACACTCGCCACAGTTTTAGACCAGCACTATGACCAACATTGGCAATTATTCAGCAATCATTAGTCCTCACTCACCACACATGAGCCGACACTTATCCCACACCTCTTCAACGGAGGCTCAGATTTGGGTGCACATCGAAATTTCCGGAGACCTCCACCACGACGTCTCTCATAATCATAATGGTTTTGGGACGTTAGACCTTACATATTAATCAGTCAACTTAGCCCACACCAGCCCGCATTAGCACACACTGGCCACAGCTGACCAACACGAGCCGACATTAGCAGCGGAGAAACCGTGCACTAGCAAGAAGAAGAAATGGCCATGGCGGGCAGCAAGAAGGCTCTGCATCCGCTCGTCACTGTGAGCCTTGATTCTCGGAGAATACCAACGCGTGGAGAGGAGAAAGTTAGGTAGCAGACGTTAGTTCAGGTAGGAACGTTAGGTAAAATTAGGTGGCAGACGTGAGCTTGGGTAGGTAGGTTAGGTAGTTTAGGTAGCATACGTTAATTTTTAGGTAGGTAGGTTAGGTAGCTCAGTTCGGTAGCAGAAGTTTAGGTAATTAGGTTAGGTAAAGTTAGGTGGCAGACATTAGCTTGGGTAGGTAGTTAGGTAGGTTTGGCAGTTTAGGTAGCAGACGTCAATTCAGGTAGGTAGGTTAGGTAGCTCAGTTCGGTAGCAGAAGTTTAGGTAATTAGGTTAGGTAAAGTTAGGTGGCAGACATTAGCTTGGGTAGGTAGTTAGGTAGGTTAGGCAGTTTAGGTAGCAGACGTCAATTCAGGTAGGTAGGTTAGGTAGCTCAGTTTGGTATCAGAAGTTTAGGTAGGTAGGTTAGGTAATTTAGTTAAGTAGCAGACGTTAGTTTACGTAGGTAAGTTAGGTAGTTTAGTTAGGTAGCACACGTTACTTTAGGTAACTAGGTAGGTTAGCTAGTTTAGTTAGGCAGCAGACTTTAGTTTTGGTAGACAGCTAGGTGGAGGTGTTCGTTTAACGCTACCGCAGCAAGCACGGGGCCGGGTTGATTGGTGAAACACAGCGGCATTTGCCCTGTAGTGAGCGTAGCCATGGTTGACGACGACGACTATGGAACAAATATGGCAGACCACCTCTCGCCGTTTCTTCCTCGCCCTCTCCCTTTTTCTCTTTACTCCCCCTTCCCTTACTTCTGTGCACTACAGCCGACGTGTCCTCACCCGTGAGATATAGTAGACAGGTGCACTTTTCAATCCCAAAATTTTCAAAAACACTTCCCCCTCTCTGTTCCCAGTTGGCTGATTGAAGGGAAAGAAAGAGTGACGGAGGAGGTTCCTTTATGAAGTAGTCGAAAAAAATTACCCCAGTACGCATCTCCACAGACAAAACGGTTATAAAAACCATCGTGAAGGCGCCCTGACGATAGTTTCTATGTCAGTTTCGATCAGTTTCGATTTATGAATGATTGATTAAATATTTTGCCCTTGAACTTTGGCAACGAATAGCTCGCGTCACGTTCCTGACAAAAAAACAAAAACAAATAGGTATACGCAATAAATTCGCATGCATTACGACTTCGTAGCATCAGAATATTAATTAAAAAGTAATTCAACCAGTCTTTGCTAATTAGTAGCAACAGTGTCACCTTAACTACGTCAATTTATTTCCGTCTCAGCGTGTCATGGAGTTCGTGCGCTTAAACTACGGGCGCCTAATAGTCATTGGAGCTTTATATAAAGAAAATCTGCATTGTCTAAAAAAATAAACACCCTCCAAAGCGAGCAACGGGCAACCACAGCCATTTCTCGCTCGTACCATTGGCGTCAAATGAAACCTGAACAAGGGCAAGCGTTTGCAATGGTGTAGTGAGCGCCATCCGGTTATAACATTGACATGCGCACATATATGCTCAGTGCAACACAGTTGTATGCACGCGACTGTTCAGGTTGGTTCTACCCACCATGGGATATCGGCCATGAAACGGGTTGTCTCCACCCACCATGGGAGTTCGACCATGAAACGGGTTGGCTCTACCCACTATGGGAGCTCAACCATGAAACGGGTCAACTCTACCCACCATGGGAGATCGGCCATGAAACGGGCTGGCTCTACCACGGCCGGACTAGAAACGCGCGTTCTGTCTTACGGCCTTCGCAATGGTAGCGTTTCTTCGGGATATTTTCCTTACTCTTGAGAAAAACTTGAAAACGTGCTGCCAGTTTCGACGTTAGGAGCTGGTAAATGAGGTGACAGGAAGTTCTTTTTTTTTGGGGGGGGGGGGGGGAGGGGTTAGAACGCTTGTAATCTTGAAACCGTTTATTCAGACATCAAGCCTCTGCACTGCACACATTTACCTGTACGCCTTCACAAGAACTCATGACTTGAACGACTCCTGTAACATCGACGTTTTTTAAATGCGAAGCTTTCTTAGCGAACTTCGGCGACTTTGAGCGTGTCCGTCCGTCCGTCCGTCCGTCCGTCCCATCATAACCACGACATGCCTGTCATGCAACAACATGACTACATGCCACACTGATGATGCGCTGGCGGCCGTTTCGCTAGCTCCACACATGCCAAATTTGGTATTACCTCACGCCAAGGGATGACGAAGATATGTGACTGGTGTAAACACGATAATCATGAGATGCGTGTCATGTGAGAACATGACTACATGCTACAGTCAACGCGCCAATACATTTCG